TGACATCGTCACTGTTCGCCTAGCGACGGGGACGCGTGTCACGGTCCCGAAGGTCCCTCTGGACTTCGGAGTCAAGTTCCTAGACTTTGATAGCGTGTAACGCTGTCTAGTCTTAGACTTGGATGCAAGGTATGACCTCATCCTAGGAATGACATATTTGAAACACCATGAGCCATGGATTAATTGGAGGTCAAATACCTTGGGCGCTACGAGCGCGTATCTTGGTGGAGCTTTGGCGAGTCATAAATTCACGTCTGCTAGATAACAAAAGCGCTATTGGCGAGAGCCCTGGACCGAGACGGTCAACGTGCTAGACATTGAAATGTCCGAGTTGGTAGTCACCAACGGTGCATTGGACAGGAGTCCCGAGCGTGACTCGCGGGCTGATCGTGGAGTGGCGCGTAACCCACTGAGCGATTCTCAAGTTTTGAAGCAGTCGCTGCATGTCATGCGTGGCATGGTCGGCCAAGGGCCAAGGCATCGAGGGCAAGGAACTCGTGATGCGCGTGGAGTGGCACGTAAGCCACTGAGCACTATGTCTCACCGAGACATAGAATCTCTGTACAGAGGCGACGGAGACGTCGTATGCTGGCTGCAAGACACTTATGTCGACCCTGATCCAGGGTGTGTCTACCGTAGACGACGGTACACAGTTATACACCCTTGTCAACGGTATGACGGAGGAGGAAGATGGCGACGTCCGCCTCGAGGCTATGCTTGCAGAAGATGCTCTTCTTGAACCGGAATATGATGTCTCTTGAATAGTTTGGCAGTGCCTTGAAGGCAGGCGATTTGGTCGAAGTGGTCATTGTAAGACCGGACGAGGAGATAAACTCGTCATCGCTTTTGAGTGAGGCTGTCTCGGAAGACACCAAGAGAGTGCTGAACGCACGGAGTAGATCGTCGATCCTACGGAACCCGTACTATCATTTGGTATAGGATGTCAAGATGTCGTCTCCAAAGACCCGCCTTGGGTCCTACCGCCGGACCGAGGTGTGCGTCAAGGACCTGGTTTCGGGAGCCAAATACTGCGTAACACGCCAATATCCCCTGCCCAAGGAGCAGTGCAAAGTCATTGACACCTTTTTCTGTTCGAAGCACGTCGTAGGGATGGTACATGAGAGCAAGCCTCCCCATTCGACACCGACGTTTTGTGTTTAGAAGCCGAACGGCAAGTGGCGTATCGTTCATGCTTACAATAAGCTCAACGCTGCCACCATTTTGGCGCAAACGCCAATACCTAGAAAGAATATTCTTCAAAACAACATGGTGGGGTGTACGAATTACAGTGCACTCGATTTGGTAGATGGGTGTTACCAATTGCACATGAGAGCGAGTGACATTCCGCTGAAAGCGGTAAGCACTCCGAGCGGCATGCTCTGGTAGTGGCTGGTGATGCCCCAAGGGCTGTCAAATGCACCAGCAACAATTAATCGTCTTGTGACGCAGTTGTTCGGGCCCCACAGGGCGTATTCACAGACATACTTTGACGACATTTTCGTTCACAGTCGTGTGGAGCACGGGAGGACGGATGAGGAGAACCACATCGTCCATCTCAGAGCGGTAATCGAGTGCATGCGCACTAACAAACTGTACGCCAATACATAAAAGTGCATCGTATGCGCAGAAGAAATTCTAGGATGCTTTATTGAGAAGCGTGGCCTTCGAGCGGATCCTGCTAAAGGCAAGGCCTTTGTAGATTGGCCGGTTCCAAAGAATCAAAAAGACTAGCGTAAGAGGCTTGATCTGGCCAATTACTTACACAAGTACAACGTAAATTACGCAGAAATGGCCCGGCCAATATCCAATCTCCTTAAAGAGGATGCGGAATGGTGTTGGAACACCGAACATCAGGAGGCTTTTGACGGGGCAAAGACAGCCTCCTGCATGCACCAATATTGGCACTGCCAGACCCCGATCGTCCTTTCAGCGTCGCCTGTGACGCTTTGACT